GAACTTTTTCAACTTAACTTATGAAAATGTTCCGGAAAGTTTGACACTTTTATATATATCTTAAATTAAAGCTAATTCAATGTACTTTATTATTGAAAAAAAAATTCGGACTTTATTTTATCTTCACGGTGAAAATGGCTACAGAATTCTATTATTGTGTGAAAATTCTCGATTTTATTTTTTACATTTTTAACTTTATAATGCTATGACATATTGAAAAGTGTATGGATCAACATTATTTTTTTATGAGAAATAATATTTTTTAATAATCCCTTTTTCATTCTACATACTTTATCTTAATTAGGATATTAATAATGAACTAGCAGATCATGTAGCTTTTGGAATAGTCCACCAATTTTTTAAAGTTAAACACTATCTAAAGATTTGCATCGAAGCGTTTTTTTTTTATAGTGATTTTAATCACTGTCAGATATCATTATACTTGATCCATCTATACCACGTCACCACTGTGCCGCGACCCCCCTGTGCTGGTTTTTTAATAATCCCTTTTCCATTCGACATACTTTATCTTAATCAGGATATTAATAAGGAACTAGCAGATCATGTAGCTTTATGAATAATACATCAATTATTTAAAATTAAACACTATATAAAGATTTGCATCAAAGCGTTTTTTTTTATAGTGATTTTAATCACTGTCAGATATCATTATACTTGATCCAACTATTCTATGTCACCACTGTGCTGGTTTTTTTTTAATTGACTTAAAATTTTTTTATTTGCTATAAAATCGTTACTAATATATATAATTATTAATACTATTTTTTGTAGGAGTTCCGACTTCAACACAAAATACTACGCAACAGTGGGATCATCCAAATTGTTGGCCATCGTTGCAAGCAATGGCAATTTTTGGTTTAGATCAAACAAAAAACAGTAGAGCACAGAAAGTAGCATTTAATATTGCTAACAGTTGGGTGTATACTAACTATATAGGATATTACAATACTGGATTTATGTTTGAAAAGGTTGATATCATATATTTTATTTAATTTTTGATAATATCTAACTTTTATAATGAAACATAAGTAATAATATTAATACACATACAATCACACATACACACACACATACACACACACATATATATACACAACATTTTATGAATTTATTTTTGATTAATAGTATAATGCAGTCGATTTGGGAAAAAGTGGTAATGGAGGAGAATATAAACCACAAACTGGGTTCGGATGGACTAATGGACTATTATTTGAGCTATTTTTCCGATATGGACATGTCCTTCACTCTAGTTAAACTGTGAAAATATTTAATATGTACAAAGTGATTATTTTATTAAAAATTTGTAAAATAGTGTTTAAAAACATCTTATATTTGTTAAAAATTATAAATTTACATGAAGTATAAATATAATTTCAAAAATTACACTAAATAATAGTTTTTCTTAAACAATAAAATACATTATTGGAGTACTAGCAAAACACTAAATTTTAAATTTATTCCTAAGGAAATAATTACACGTATTTTTGAGCATAATTAAATTATTCATCCTTATTTAATATAACTAGTATACATGAATCAATACACAGTAATTTACATCATTTATAACTTGAGTAAACTTAATTAGCTTTAGTTTTTGGACAATTATTCTCATCAAATAAAACAACAAAGTTTATAAAAAACCAAATTTCAATAAACCAATCAATTCCTTATTTTCGCATTCATAGACTACGTTTATAGCATATTTTTTTTTATTATTCGTCTATAATAAAAAAAAAATTAAATGAAAATTTTAAATGTACATCACTTAAATAGTGGTAAAATCACCGTAAAAACCTTTTTGTTTTCAACTTGTTTTTATTATATTTTACAATATTGTAAAATGGTACTGAACTGATAAAAAAATAAAAATTTATCATTTCCAAAATTATCTATTTCACTTCAGCCATAATTATGCAAAAATAATAAGAAGTCATAAAAATGCAATAACATTGAGAAGCCATAGATATCCAAATAAAATTAGGAAGCCATATAAATACAAAAACATTAAGAAGCCATAATTATGCAAAAATAATAAGAAGTCATAAAAATGCAATAACATTGAGAAGCCATAGATATCCAAATAAAATTAGGAAGCCATAGAAATAAAACCTTGAACTTTTTAACTAACTTTAATTGCCCTTTTTATCTACCAATAAATTCTATGAACGGTTGCCGCCGCATCGATAACACAAAAGTTTTCCATGCTTGGAGTCTAAGTTCGAACCCTTCCCGTCAATATGATATTTTTTGCTATATATTTCTTAATACTTTTAGAGTTGGAAAAAATAAATTTCTTTAAATTTTTATCTTATTTAGATTGAATAACTTCAATGAATATCAAGGAACATTGCTATAATTAGTCTCCCCTTGTTAGAAGAAGATTCTTATTCATATTAAAATTATTTCATTATGCGGTTTTTTTGTGTCTGTCATTTATTTTTCACAGCTAATACTTGATCTATTTTTTTCAACGATACGTCTAATGACCACAATTAGTACTTAATTGATAAAAAGCGTTTCAATGATATTGATTTTCATTACTATCAGATATTATCTAAACTTGTGCCCTCAACTATGTCGAGTCCACACTGTGCTACCGTTTTTTATATTTAAGCAGTTAAACATCAATTAATTATAATCAATTTCATTTTTTTGAGTCATTATAAGTGAATGATCTAGTTTTGAGCTCTTATTCTAGTCACCACAGTTACCATTTTAAAAACACAACATTTTTAATAGTAAAAGTGAGCTGAATTAAATTAATTACATTTAACATAATCCACCCGAGCTGTGTCTCTTGGGGAATGTTTGACTATTGTCGCTATATTTTATTTACCCGTACAAAACAAATCATGAAAATGGGTAAAAAAAAACAAATTTTGGGCAACGATAAATCGTGTGATATAATGTGTGCAAACATTGCACCTTACCTTTGACGTCACGCTCAACACATTCGGACGCTGGGCGCTTTTTCGATACAATGTCGTTTGATTGTAATTATGTTGATAATTGTTTACGCGAGTACTTCAACGTATTACAAGCATTAAGAACTCTTATTAAAAATTGTACCCAAATAAATTTTCTATTTCATTTATTAATTCCGCTATAGCAATGGTTTCAACTTGAACCTATTACATAATATGATAAAAGAAATTATCTGGAAAAAAATTATAATGTTATTTACCTTGGTAATAAGATGACCACGTGCATCATTACTAGATACCTAATACCTCAGCTGCCTTTACGGCCTTTAATACAGGCAATCTCTTCTATAATTTTTACTGCATTTTCAACCGTTGGCAATTTATCAGTCGGTGATGTAGTTTCCCATTCTCTTAAAGTATTTCTGTTCAATTTCGCTGTTATTATATGTATTAAGAACGGCCTCTATTCATAGGGATTTTGTTTGATAGCTATTAACAAGCTTACATGACCATTTAATGTATCTACAAATTGCCGCAATTTATCCGCTGATTCCCCTGTGACAGGCTGTCACAGGGAAATCATTGGCTAACCGCTGTCAGTGACAGCGGTTAGGTCCACAGTCGCAGTACATGTGTACTTGTACTACTATTATGTTGTTGCTATACCGTATTATATGCCTATACAGTATTCTATACTATAGAATAATTACTAGCTGTCAACAACTTAAAGTTGAACGTAAATAGAAAATTTTTCAATCGTTGTAATTGTTCGTTCTTATGTATTAAACTGTTAAAAACATCGTAATATGACTCCCATTCCAAATAAGACTGGAAAAAAGTGGACATGTTTTTTGGGGGAACTCATCGCTCGTATCCCTCCACACTGGTCACCGTTCTGAATGGCCCTTATATTATCTCCCTTTATGATCTCAGCTGCTTCCCCTAGCATTTGAATGTTTTCTGCTTTTAAGACCTTAAAACAGTATTCTTTAAACTATAATCTGTACGTTAACTGTACCACTTGATTTGTTGCTAAATTATCTATCGCTGTTTAAACTTAATCATGTTCATCCCAAACATACTCTATTTTTTAAAGCCTTAGTTTTGCTAAGACGAGTTTCACACTTTTGTTTTAATTCCCAGTTTATGAAAAAACATAAATCTAGATTCTAATTTATTATTAAAATCTTACCTGATAATTTTCATGGTTCTTGTAATATTTTATATAATAATATTATTAATTAATAATTGACAAATAAAATAACACAAATTCAAGTTTTAGTAAACAATTCAAAGACGTAAGAACTTCGACAATGATGATCGCAATATCCACGTAACTATATTATGAACACGAAATGAACTAAAGAGGTGACAATCTAATAGAGTCTTGCACAAAAAATTAATTAATCATAACAAATACACATTTATATAACTGTAAAAAAAGAAGATACACCTGGAAAGCTATCTGCGATACATAGACATTAC